ATGTTTGGTAGTTAGCGTGACATGAAATTAAGTTTCGCTTAGAAAATAGCATAAGGCAGCAAACTGGAACAAAACAAAACAAATATGACTGTATATACTCTTGAGCTTATGTTCTAATGGCTACGTTCAGAGTTTGCACGAGCCAAGAATTAATACGCATCCGGCATACCTACCTTTGCCAGCTATGCACTTATAATTCTCTAACCACATATCTTTAAAGAGCTTGTGTAAGTTTAGGGAAAAGGGGGACGGGGGGCCCGGAAAATATTAGTGGAGCCCATTGTGTATGCTACTAAATCTCTAACCTAGTTTCGAGCCAGACCCAAAATTTCATTAGCTTGATATTGAGTTAAGAGCTTTAATGTCCCCGTTAGTAATCACACTTTATTTCTTGTTATTAAGAGAGACGAATAACAGATAAAAACAATACTTATTTCTGACGAGAATGCACAAAATGGATCTTATTTTAGAAAGCGAAAATTAAAAACAACACCGCTAAAAGGTATTGCCGGGGGATCCAGGATCTCAGGCGATTTTCCATTAGGTGACAGGCGAAATTGTTCAGATCGTGTAAAAGGTTTCAATTATCAAGACCTGTTATGCACGTTTGTCATCACTTTAAAGAATGACGCACTTTGACCACTTGAGCTGATTGACGATTGTGATAGACAGGTCGATGACACTTATGAGCGCTTTAACCGAGTGTTTTAGTGAAGGGCAAATTATGTATACTGCCTGCTTTGATTCTTAGTAATAAATATCGTTTCTATTTTGTTTGTCTTTTTAAGAAAATAAAGTGAGTTTTCAGTATTTTTCAATAAACAGTCACAACTTAACTGTTAGCTAAGAAAAGATGGCTTAATTTTCTGAATTATTACTGAAAAATTTGAATATCAGCTTTGGTTGTGAAATTTCCGTTACTTATAGCTTTATTTTTTACTGTCATGTATTGTATTTCATTACTGATGATACAAGATGACAACGAAGTTGCAAACAAGGTTGTTTCAAGTTTTTAATTTTTCTAGAATTCAAGAAAAACAAGAATAGTCTCTAATGAAACTGTTACTCGGCGTAGGAGGGCAATTGAAAGCACTTAGCTAATTATCAATATGAACTGAGTTAATACACTAAACTTTTCTTATGAAAGAAAAACTGGAAAAATGGAAAAATGATGTTTCGAGTGTTACCACCTTGTCAGAGAAAAGTGCAAAAGGATGGAAACGTCAGCTTTCCTTTTCTAAGTTTGTTACGGTGGCTTAATTACCTACTCAACACATCATAGTTGATAAATAGATAAGCACAGGGACTAGTTCCGGAGGGGGGGGACTGCTCCCATATAAAACAGGACAGGGGTGCTCGTCGTATCTTTTAGGGATTAAATAAGCGATTTTGGTATCTCCTAGGATGTTCAGCCTCAAAAAGTCCACAGCAGGAACTTTTGCGGCACCTTTTAGGCTGTTGAGCCGAAAAATATATGACGGGAGATATTTGATAATCACCTGATTTTAAATTTGTCTCAGAATTGGTACTTCCAGGAGCCATAATCGGGGACGGAGACCGTAAGTCTTGGGATCCGCGCGCACCTATGATATGGGACAAT